ACCAAACAAAGTAAGGCATGTATATATATAGTTGTGAAGTCTTAAAGGACCAAACCAAGTAGCACCAAGTCACCCCTTGGTTTGGATTGCCGGGCGGTGTGGGGGGGCTCTTCCTCAGAACAGCAGATGTGAAGAACCAATAACACCACACCTTTAACAGTTTCTATCTATTGCTAGTCATAGATTCAACTCGTCCAGATGCTTGCAAGTTCGGTTCAAGGGAAAAAAATGAACCATGGTGCGCTAACAAACAAAACCAGACATCCATTCCATCCATTCCCCACCAGACACCAGACACCCATTTAGGGTGTACGAGTTCATTCCCCACCATCAGAATCAACCAAATACTGCTAATCTCTTGGCCCATCACGACCCATCTTCCAAACCCTAGCATCCCTAAACTCATCGATCGCTCCCGCACACGCCGCCTCTGCCTGCGGAACCGGCCAGCTGCCAGGCCAACTGCCGTTCGCGCTCAGTGAAGGCAGCGGGGTTGGTCTCCGGTTCTGAAAGGATGAAGATGTTGGATGCCACGGATCCCTACTTCGAATGATTGAAGTGATCCCCAAATAGATGACCGTGACACGGCGTCCAATACATGTTCTACGTGGGGAACTACTTGTCTATCTACTTGGGATTCTCATATGTAGGAAAGTGATTGTAGAATGATATAGATAGGAAACCCATGGCAACCTGCAAATCCATTGTTCAGAAGAAAAACACACCAATGCTCGTGGGTCTAGTTTCCCTATTCAATAGTGGTTTCAGAGTAGATTCGATGGAACACTCCCGAAGTTCGGTGGCTTACATGGGTTTAAACACATTTTACAGCAAAGACATCTTGCATATGGGGTGCTGGTGCCATCGAACCGCTTTCAACCACCGTAATTATCCCTCCCGGATCCTACCAGTAGTTCCAAGGAAGGCAGGCGTTAGGCTTTCGAGTCTCATCCAGGGATCGTAGATGTGACAGGATCACCCCTTGTGCCGAGCGCCGTATCCTTCAAGTTCAGCACCCCCGACATCGAAACTGCTGGGGCCTGGGACTGGGTTGGGTGGCTAGGAATCGGTGGGGCAGACACGGGCCATGTGAGAATTTCGCGCACGGATGAGTGCATCAACATGGCCGATGGCATCCAGAATCAACAGGACACTCAACGCCTGCAACTGTCACATACATGATCATACACGTTGCAGAGCCAGCCGCTTGACCGGTCTGAAGTGGTATACATGTCTGTTGGTGGACGGACTGGTGGACTACGTGGCCTTGTTGACCGTTCCTTAATCACCATCACCCTTCGTCACCGCTCAAGTCCCCAAGCTCACCAAGCTTACCAAGCTTAGTCCCAGAAACCCCCAGTCCTGAACATGGCTGTGGGCTGTTTCGGTCACCGAAACTCGGCATCCGTTCGGCTTCCGTTTCGACCGCCCAGAAGCCAGGTTTCCACTGTGAAGCTCTTGGAGGCCGACGTGTAGGAGATGTTCAACCCAAACGCTGTCCAATGACTTCATCGTTTTTTTGCCATGGTGTCCCAAGCTGGAAGGGGCTACCGGGTTGAGTTGACCGGTGGTCCATGTGGTCACTTGCGCGGAGGGGGCGGTCAGGGTCAGGCCTTAAACCAGGAGAGGGCAAGCAAAACAAGATCAGGTAAACGCACCTAGCGTTTGCTTGTTGCTTGTGCTGAGACATAAATAGCTTAATCAGCTCAATCAGAGAAAGTTATTAGAGCATCACTGTCAATGTTCATGTTCTTCTCACAAGCTTTGTGGCAAAACACAGCCAAACCTTGCGGTATACGAGGGCCTTTTTCAGCCAGCCCGTTGACGCCCGTTGACGCCCGTCTCGAGACGGCCTACTGTACATCAACTGTACGTTTGAACTTCGATTGATAATAGTTTCCAATCCCCCTTCCTTGATCTACCTCCCTGGCCTGGTGGAATACCCTGTGCAAGTGGACCGACCCACCCTGATTGGCCCGTCTCGGCCCACGGACGGGAAAAAAACCGCTGGAAGTTGGTCAACCAAACAAAGAGCTCATAGATTTGATTGAAGCCTTGGATCATCAATCGCCACGAGTTTGTTTGCTACTTCAAAAAGGCAAGCCCTTTGTCTCCACAAAAATAAAACAACTTCCTACTTCCTTCTGGGAGAATTTTCAGCAACTCCTGGGGTTGGTCTAAGGATGGATACCCTCTAAACATGGAAGTGGATGGCACCCCTTGTTTGTGGAGGAAGATAGTCTTTCTTTCCAGTGATCGCGTTCTACTTCCATGATTGTTGGAGGGAGTGTAATTTGTATTCTCCAACCTCCCAACTACTTTTTTTTCTGAGAGGTTCTTGGAAGCTACACTAGCAGCTAGCACAAAAGAAAAAGTGGACATCCTGAGGGGAAAGCGGATGAGGACTAAGGGACTGGAAATGACTTGAGGAGTTTGGCAAGCGGTGGATGTTCATCATGATCAACACCTCAACTCTCATGGTCAGAAGCTCCTTCTATGAGCCTTTGAGACGGCCAATCCTGATGGGCATTTTGACTGCAAGTAGTTTGTTCATTACCACTGCACATCATTGGAAGATGAAGGATCTTCCTCCTGCTCACTCAGCACACATACCCTCCTACCCTCCTTGCCAAGCACCCTCAAGGGCACATACTTGCTTTGGAGCCCACCATCTTCTCAGTCCTGAACCGCCAACCCACACCCACACCCATCGCCAGGGCTTGCGAGACGAGCCAAAGGATGAGATCGAGACGTCCTTCACCGAATGGGATCAGGACACCGCTCTGGTAGACGACCCACACCTCCGGAAGTCACGGCGTTCGTCTCGACCTGGAGGCGCGAAACCTTCGAGGTTTCGCGAGGTTTCGTCGCCTCCCTATAGATCCACGACATACTGTTTGAGAAGGTGACTGGAGACACTGTATAGATGCTAGGAGACACTACAGTCGTACCTTCCGAGGTTCTGGGGCCGAAGGTCTGGGGCCTGGACGTTTTTCGTTTGTCGTTGCCCCCAAGGAGCGAAAACATGCAGAAACCAGACACCCAGGCACTCCGTGGATGCCACCCCATTGACCCCTTTTCAACCACCCCTGGCTTGATCGGCAGTCATATATGACAGTCCCAGATGTTGGTCGCGCTTGAGGTGTGGGGGGACTTCGATCCAAGATCTTGGTCTTGGCTGACTGTCTTGGTCTTGAATGTCCACATCCTCAGAAGGTGGTTAGACCCCGCTAGCACCCACCCCAACCACCGAACCTCAACGGAGGTGGGCCAGGAGCCCTAGAGTCTGTTCTTCACTCAGGCCGAAAGCTGGACTTCGGTCGTTCACCGGCCAGGACTCACCCAGTGGCCAAGCAGTGGAAACCTTATCGCGCCTCAGGCGCTCGGCCCGACGTCGGACGCTCGACCGACCGCTTTTCACGTCGGACGGATGGACAGCATCGGAGTGGTTTGCTCCAGACCCTGAGGGCCCCAAGGGTCGTGGTGGGTTCGGATGCGTCGTCCGGGTCCGAGCACTGGGAGAGGCACTGGAAGTGGCCAAAAGTGTGTTCCGCGAGAGGTTGAAAGGGTGTGGCTACCTGTAGCTCTTCTTAGGGAAAGACATGAACCGACCTTTGTGATTCCCAGGATTCAGGCCAGCAAAATGCAGGTGAATATTCATCAATTGATCAGCGATTCCAGAGTTGATAGCACAAGCAATCCATCACGGATGGACACGGACCTGCAATCCTTCACCATGCGAGCACATGCGGTCGCGATGCGGGGTCGTGGACACTCTAGTCCGCTTGTTCAGTCAGCCTTCACCTTGCCAGGTTGAACCAGTGGCCCTTTCTGATACTTCATGACCCAGATTGTCCATGCATCTAAAGCGAATTCACTTTGAACTTCAGATATATAGATATAGCCGTCTTTCTGCAGGTGCATCCACCACATTTGAGCCACATTACTTCGCCTCCCAGCCAATCAAGCCGCACCCGACCGACTGTCATGACCTGAGAGACTCACCACCTCGAAACACCGCCCCTCGTCACCGTCCGCCCGGCAGGCAGGGTCTCTCCATGTGGACCAACAGTGCGGGGACTCAGTGCCCTCCGACCCCTCGTGCCCCGACGGGATTGAAGCCGAAGTCTTGAGCTGAGGGCTTGGGTTTGAAAGAGTCCCGCAAGACCTGAGGTTTGGGTACCTGCGGGTACTTGCTTATGATGATGATGATGATGATTATTATTATTATTACTATTATGATGAATCGGGGTCTTGTAATGGATCACTTGAATGGACAAGAGAGACAAACAAAGAGTCTTCTCAATCATTGGGCTTTTGACCACAAGAATCTTGAACAGATTGGGAATTTCAAGAGGATTTGATGCGTGCAGCGTGCGGCGTCCATGGCACCATCAAGCAATGGAGCTTTGCATCGAGACGCTTTCGAACGCACGATGTTCGAGGTCGTTTTGCCATGGTGGACGGAACTGATGCAGCGGATTTAGGCCAGCAGCTTGGAGAAGGCCGGCACTGTTGCCCACAGACTACCAGGGACACGCAAAAAAGCTATCGAAAAGCCATGAAAAACAGAGGTGTCCATCAACTCCAACGAGAAAGTTTGGGTGAACACTCGGATGCCACTGATCAGTGGGCGATGCGGGTGGCAGATTTGTAGCGGATCTCAGGTGTTCTTCAAGGACTCTATGGCTGAAACCACGAAACAAAGGGGTTCTAGCTTGGGTCCTTTCATCAGGATGTTTGACGCTTTTCATGGTCAGGATACACTTCTTATACTCTCTTCTTACTCGCTACCTCCGCCCCTCCCGGGCACATTTGGGCACCCATCTGGCCGCGGCGTGGTTTGTGCCTTTTGAGAACCAGATTTATACCCGTTGGAGGCTCCAGGCTCCAGGTAGAGCTTGTTCTTCGGGTACGGTATATACCTAGCCCTTCGGGATCCACATACCCTTTGAGAAGGTGAAGGGTCAGACACTTTTAGGTCGATGCCAGAAGGGTCAGAGTAGCTTCTGAGAAGGTATGTGGATCCCTAGTGAGATAGTTTCTTTGTAACTACAATTGTTGTTCAATACAAAGTCCAAACAAGACCAACCCTAGTCAGCCCATGATGCTTAAGTCTTTCATAGACTTGCCATGAATTATGAATTGCCTTTTAATCAAAGTACATGCATGGCTTTCATGTTCCTCGTGGTTTCCCACTCCTGACTCGCTCGTCAGGCGCTGGTACTTCCTGTAGCCTTCCCACGCGCCACGCCAGTCGCTTCATCCCACTGAAGCACAGGGACCCAGCGGACGGGTTCGTGGCTGAGCCGAATCGGCTTGGTGGCCCGCTGGTGTTTTGTTTGAACATGTGACCTCTACACGTGACCTCTGAACTGCAGTGCCGTCATGTTTGGCTCTACCTGTACCAACGGTTTCTGGAAATGAGGCATGCCAGCAGGATCAGAAAGGCACCAAACTCGAACCGACCTGTTTCGCCACACGTCAGCTAGGTGTCCGAAGTGACCCAAAACTAGAACATAGGAACATATAGGAACATATTAGGAACTGACAATTCTTTTCCATGGTCCAGTTTGCAGTTTGCTTATTGAACATACTTCACCCTAAACTCCCGCACGTCCCGGGCGCCACCAGAAACGCTAACAACGTCGTTCTAACGCCGGTGATCTCTGCTCCACGTTCGCCCCCAGCGATCCCAGGTCCGAGTGCGCGGAGTTCAGGTGCAACGGAGTCGACCGACCGATGGGCCCCGGCGGTTTTTCAGGTTCGGGCCGATCGGGTCGACCCTGCGGTCATCCACCAGTTGAGTCCTGACATGTCACGTCCTGACGTCCTGACCATCCATGGGACTGGCATATGATACACTCCTGTGGAGTGTGATGGGTTGGGGTGGTTGACTTGGGGTCAAGGATGGTCAATGTATATATGTTCCATACTTGGAGTGTTTGGGAGAAGTTCTTCGGGAGTCGACGAACAAACGTGGGCGTCTTGATTCAGGTAGGAGGATTGGATCGTTTTGACATCCGGCCGGCGGACGGTGGAATGAATTTGTGAGCATCATGAATCCAATCCCCAAACACTCCCCGCAATGACGGAATATGCTAATTACATTGGGGTGGTTGACCTGGGGGTCAATGTAGGCATATAATCCATATAATGGAATGTTTGGGATCCCGTTGAATTTGTTTTGTGGTGTTTTTCTCAGTAGCTGCTGGTCGACTGCTACTGTCCACTGTTCGCATGAAACATGGCTCCTTCTCACCTGACAGCCCTTGTGGAAGGTGGGGAACCCAGTGGATCGTAGTTGGTTTCCAATGGTCTTCTTGAAATGAGTTTTCTTAAATGAAATGAAGTCCAAGAGAGCGGATCCAAACAGATAATATGCTGACTTCATCAACCTTTGTGATCTTCGTGTTTCACCTTTGTTTCGCCGGGACCTCACAGCTTCAGTGTCGTCCGTTCGCGGAGTCCGAACGACGCGCCTTTCGTTCATCACCCCGCAGGACGGAACGAGTCCCGGAACGAGGAGCTCGGCACACAGACGTCACAGGTGAGCTCGGCGGCACCTGGTGTCCTTGAGCATGTTTGACGTCACAGGTGGTGACACTCTCACTGACGGCATATAGTTTCTGAAGATCACTTTGAGATGCTGTTTTGGGGTGACTCGGATCCGCTTAGCTGCGCTAGCTAGCTACTAGCTAGGAGAATGACTCAAATGACTCAAATGACTCGAAAAGAGATCCAATTGACTGGGAGGTTCAGGGCTTCATCCTTCCTTCGTTGGAAACCGCCTGTACGTGTTGAAGTCGACCACTCCGAACCAGGTTCTGAAGCCAAGACGGAGTCTCTGGAAGATCTGGAGGCCTCGTCCATGGTGGAGGCACCAGATCGCGCAGCACCGGATCTCGTTCCACACGGCCAGAGTCTCGATGGTGGGACCGTGGGAGCACAGATTTGTACTAGGTCATTAGGTCACGATCGGTCAGATGATCTCATCGGGGCGTGAGGGTGGCTTCTGAAAGACCAAGTTGCCATAGTTCTTCGATGTTCTTCGATTCCTCGCGGAACCTACAAACGTGAAACCTGAGAAGGAAAGTCAAGAGCAGCCATGCTGCAAATTTGGTTTGTGCAATTTCCATTTTGGTCAAAGAAAGAGCACTCCTTGAGAAGCAGGGCTTCGATGTTTGTTGTTGGTTGGTGAAGGACGAGAAGTTCGTAGTGCATATGGATTGTTTTTTAAGGGAAACATGGATTGTGGATCATTGTTGTGTATTTTCCATCTTTCAGCAGGTCAAACAGAGTCTGCCAGTTCCAATACACATCCATCTGGTTTGTACGCAAAGAACTTGGTCGGGAATAGTGAATTGTCGTAGTACGATGTCGTCGTATGCTTGTTTCCGTTTATCACCTACGGGATGAGCCAGATTAAAACTTCAACTATCTCCCAGCCCTCCTCCCCCTGAAGCATTTCTAGGTCTTTTGACTGCTACTATTTTTTCTGCACAGACACTGAAGTAGGTCTGTGTTTTTGTTCAGACATATATATTTGCTTCTGTATTCACATTATAAAATAATTTGTTCTATTTGCAGGCTGGTGACAATATTGTTCGAACAACTATGAACAGCTTCCTTCTATACAAGTCGTTCGGCAGCATTCCAGTGGCCACTGTTGGACCCAAATCAACAGTAATCCCTTTGGACTCATAGGGCACCTACATAACATAACAGTGTCTCCAATCACCGTACCTCCAGAGGGTCAAAAACATATTGGATCCCTATACGGTCCCGAAACGTGGAACTCTTAGTGAGGCTTTGTGGCCCGGAAATGAGGCTTGGAAGGCCGAAACAGCGGCCAGAGCTCAAAACGAAGGAAGTGTCGAGGTCTGCGTTTGGTTCTGAGGTCGGTCTAGACACTGTAGGCATTCACACGGAAAAGCTGTTTGATTTTTGATTTCAAGGTCTTGGAACAGAGATTGTGTCAGGAGAAAACATCATGGAAGACAAAGTTCTTTTAGAATCATCGACGATATTCATCTATTATAGGTTTCACTTGACGCTGTCCTTCTACTTTCCCAAACCCCATCTCTTTGTTCGAAAAAAAACAAAAAACTCCCATCTTCCACCATCTTCCTGCATCTTCCTGCCGACGCAGGACGACACGCGGGATCCGAGTGCGGACCAGTGGGGGGGGCCCAGTCCCCACGCCGCGGTGCGGACCGGCCAGCGACTGTGGAGGAAGGAACTCCAAATGGAGGAAGGAAGATGTGTGTCTTTCTTTACCGGTTCTTTGGGAGCGTGAAAAGCCCCAAGAACATCTTAAGAGACATGTGACCACATCGGCACCGCACCCAGAACAGGGCGGGTGGGGAGGGGAGTGGTAGCAGTCCTGCAGGGGGGGGGTTCCCCCAGAAGCACCATACAGGGACCCTGTGCGGTCCATGGTTTCGTCCAGAAGCTGATCAAGCACTGAACATTTGGCCGTACGAAGGTGCCTGGGGTGCCGAGGAGACCAGGAACCAGCGTGAAGCCCTTACGGTGCTGAGGAGATACGGAGATCTATGCATTGACATCAGCCAAAGTTGTAGATTTCTTCAGTCACACCTTGAAACGACTAAGTGAGTAATTATGTGCATATATATAATATATATATATTATAATATAATACATTTATGTTTGTACTAAATAGATAATTCCTGCACTTACTCTCGCCCTTAGTGGATAACGGCCTATCCATGGGACTGGAATCCTTACCGACGTGCAGTGGATGGTTCAAAAAATTGGTACGTACTATTCCAGTCCCGTGGGAGTGTTTGGGCTTCAGACTCATTGTTTACACAAGTCATCAGCACACCCGAGTCGGTACCCAAGTCCACTCGAACCCGTCTCATCTATTCGCTGCTTTATCAAGGACAGACCATTCATGGGACTAGAATAGATACATACATTGCGGCCCCATGAAAATGACTCCTAATGCAAGTAACTATATATATTCCATACATGGATGGTCTGGGAGTCTGGACACATGCTTCCATTTTCGTTGACCCAAACAAGTCCGAAGTCCCCGATGGTCGGGTCTAAACGGTTGAGGAATGTCGTGGATAGAAAGACGAGAAGAGATTCTGTCCTGAAAGACTGGTGCCACTTGGGCTGCGATGTCAGTTAATGTCAAGGTTATTCAAACAAAAACACAGGATATGCCAAGGTGATGAGACCGCAGGTCATGTTCAAACGCCAAGATGATGAGCCGGAAGGTGTCGGGGGTTGGAAGTTGAACCACCAGGGAGTTTAACCTGTTGGATCCACAGCCCTCACAAATACGGTGATAGGACTTTGGCGCCTACATCACCCCACAAGTCTACTCTGACCCAGTAAAACCGGGTCGACTTGACCTCCTTAAGTATTGGTTTTGTATGACCACCTTCAGTAAAAATAGGGTCAAAGTGACTTGTAGGGTCAAGGAGTCTCCTTCCTCACTCACCTAAGATCCGGGATCCGTGGATTCGTGGATCCCTTAGGCCCTAGGTGGTTCCGACGCATGGATCCGGACCACCGCCAAGCCGCCGGGCCAAGCATCGTTCCGATAGGTTCAAGCCGAGAAGAAAGGGCCGTGACGGCGTGACGTTAGAACTCCGCATTATATAGTTACATCATCTATAATGATAATATAATTGAGTTTATAATGCATAATCATAGATAATTATACTATATTTAGCATGATATATTAATTATAATTACAGAATATATAATGCGGACTCTTGATGATATGTGGACAACATTATTGATTGTTAATCTTAGATTTCAATGTGGACTCTTGATTATATAATCCCCCCCCTTTGGGATGGTAAACACCTTCTTCATATGGAAGAGTCTAAGGCTTGTTGCGGGTCACACTTCGCTTCCCACGCCGTGGGAAGGTGGTACTTAGAACATAATTACTAAGTGGGAAGGTGGTACTTAGAACATAATTACTAAGCTTTCTATCGCGTTTCCGCCCTTCCGTCTTGGCTTTCAGGTGGCACCAAAGCTATCTCCAGCGGATCAGGGATTGGTTTTTTCGGGGGCAGACAGGGTGGTGAAGGAGTGAAAGTTGTTTGAGATGTTCTCAAGGAAGACCTTTTAACTTCATGATTCAGAACTTCGACCCTACTATTACCATGTGACAGTGCTAGAAATCCCCCAAAATGGTCGGTGAAACGATCTTAAGCGTTTTGAAGCGGACGGTTCACGGTCCAGAACTCCTCCTTAGGGCTCGTGTGTTTGGAATGTTGTCCTCCAGATCAGCTGAGACTTCAGCTGCCAGGACCTTCCCAGTGACCTCTTCAGGATTGGTAAGTGACCTTTTCAAGGCCTAAGTGACCTCATTCTGTGATCTCAAAAGGTCACTGGGAAGGTCCTGGTGGAAGTCACGATTGTTTTGATTACTTTGCCAGGTATATGGCGTATTTCGCTTGGCCGGTCCCTTTGCCCACCTGGGCCCACCTAGGGATGAACACATATTTGGCTTGGCACGAGGAGAACTCACTGAATCGAAAAAACGGATCAAAAACAGGGGCTGCTAGCCGATATGGTATGACTAAGGTATGACGGTATATGCATATGAGGCTTCCTTTTCAAGAACCTATGGGATATGGTATGACTGATTTTGACCATTCCGGGGTAGATGTGTGAACCGTGTGAACCTGGAGGAGATGAAGACCAAGCGCCATTGTTGACATGTGTTTCAATGTGGATAAGAGCCCTGCTGGTGTGGCAGGTCTGGCGGATAGTTCTTCTTTTGCCGGACGGGTCCCAGTGCAAACACTACTCCGCCAGGGAAGGACTGGACATGAACAGCTTCCCTTTCAGACGGAAGAAGCATCTTGTGTTGGACACAAGACCTCTCTCTTCTCCAAGAAGCGACGCGAAAGGGTGCTAGCGAGTTTATGATGGTTGACACTCTTTCAGTGACACTTTCCAGTGGTAAGTGAGGCTGATCCATTGAGCCGCTTCCGATTCTGATCCCATTGAGATCTCACACCTGTGCAGCAGCGCATGCGGACGCATGCGTAGTGAGTCAGATGTTCGCAGCACTCCTGTAACGTCCACCTCCTTCCATTTATACCAGCTTTTTTGGCAAGGCTACTGACATCACCCTGGATGATATTCTTTAGATTCCCAACAAGTTGTGTCTTTTTTGTTCAAGCGGCCACTTTTGGCAGCATCAGCGCAGTATCAACGTGCCATCTACTGTATTTTATGGCAACATGTTAAGAAAGCTTTGTTGGGTAACCATTTCAGTTTTTTTGCGTAAAGCCCTAGGAACAAGGATCGTAAAGGATTTGGAACCCTTATATGACTAAGTACACAACCTGAGAAGAATCCCTAGGGAGTACAGTTGTTTCAGCCGCTTCATGCTTCAACTCCACAGCTATGACCCTCCTTGGCCCCTGGCTCCGCGGGCAACGCTCTTGGCACGCGGCGCGACAAGCGGTGCTTGCTCGTGGCGGGATGGCCACTGGTTGTCAAGGTGCAGATGTGCAGAGATAAATATTTTGATCTAAAAATATCGACTGATGTACTCCTTCAACGTTCTTGCTTCTATTGTCAATAGCTGAATAGCCCTTATAGGCCGTATATAGTGGATGAAACATGATGAAGCTTCATGCCATTCGTCTTTGTATGTCTTGGTAGCCTGAGTTTTTTATAGATGAATATTATGACTTTAACCTGGACTTCCACATACCTTCTCAGAATGTACCTGGACCCTCGTGGCACCTACATAAAAGTGCCTCCCAATCACTCTCAGAGGCATCAGGATTCCAGAGAAAATCAGGATTTCTTCGCCCACTGAGTCTGACGCCGCGTGTTTGTCCCCCGAACGTTTCAACCAATTCTCTCCACAGGTGCGCCGGACCTGCCTGCGCCGCTTTCCTTTGTGCGCGCCGAGCCTTTCGAGTGGAACCCGCTTCGCTGGCCTGGCAGGACCTGGTGGAGGAAAAGACGCCTGTGGCGTGGTGAAAAATTCAACGTTGGTGGTCAGAAATCCAGTTTTTCTCGGGTCTGGCGGAGGAAATTCAATCAGTGGCCATTCCGTTCCTTGGTAAAGCTGATGAGCCTTTTTTTAAATGAAAAGGGGTTCTGATTGAGGTCATTCAATATAGAATATAAACCAGTTCTGATTGAGGTCATTTATACAACTTGTTATTCCCATCCAACAGTCCTGATGCAATGCCCCAATCACCTGACCTCACTGGACCTGGCTCGGAACATGAGGGTCGCCACCTCATCCAAGCAGCTGGGAGTTCATTTGCGTTCAACGCACGAGATGACATGGCTCCGTTGTCCTGTTGATAGGCACCTGAAATACTATATAGGCACATGTTGGTCAAAATCCTGTGTATATGTGGATCGATGCATCTCCTGTTGGTTTGGTTTTAAGATGTTTTAAGTCTAAAAAAGGGGATTAAAGGGTAGCCGGTTTTGGCCAATCATGGACTCATTAATTCATGCTTGAAGGAAATTAGCTTGTCCTTGTTTTGGAAACACTCTTATATAGGATTCAGCCCAGCCCTTCTCGTTGAACCTTCTTGAAACCTTTCCCTATATGTGTATCATCCTCCCAAAAAGAACCCACCACACCATCCTTCCGCTAGGATGGATGTGTTCGGATCGCCCAGGTGGGTGCCTCCATGAGGAAGTCGCGTGCCGTCACGGAGGGGCATTACGTGACGGTCACGCCGGAGCCCTTACCGGACCGTCCGTGCGGTGGGTCGGGACGTGGGACCGGTTGGTCGCGCCCTGGTGGCTTTGACATGGCGGGCTTGGTCTCAAAGTATGGAGCGTTGCCTTTCGTGATGCTTTCGCCTTTGAGTCATGGTCCCGGGTCTCACCGGTGCACGCGAGATCGAGTGTGGCGATTTGTTGGTTCACTCCTGGCACTTCGGAAGAGCCCGGTGTTCATTCCTCAGGCTCCTCCGGTTCCTGAGTTGGTGTTCGCAGCTGGTGTCCACATCGACTCTCAAGTTCGCGACTTCGCACAGAGGATCCTGAGTTGGTGGTCATCTCTGATGAGCTTTGCCATGAGCTGAACTGGCACTATGAGCCTGATGACCTCAAGATCCTGGCAGGAGCCTTTGAAGACATGTCTCAAAAACACTATACGTCACTACCAAGCAAGATGAACTGTGACTGGTCAGCCGTTGACCTTTTTGGGGGATTGGTTGCCAATCCAAACATGAGCTGAAAGAAGGTTCACCTGGAGGTTCACCTCCATTATATATGACTTTATCAAGGAAAACTGGCAGAGGCAGACCTCCAATTCCCATTTTGGATGTCGCGTCATTGGTCGTTATTAAAATTGTGCAGCATGCCTTTGTGTGTAGCAAGAATGCATGCATGCTGCAGCCAGCCATGCCCATGTTTGCTTACTTTGGTGCATGTCCAAAGTCCTCACTTACCACTTACCCCTCTAACTTACCATGGATCATAACTCCACTATACCTGAGACCATGCGGCTTCCCGGCCACCCAGGAGACTTGCCCTCCGATTGGCCACCCCCGACGGCGACCCCGTACGGCACCTCCGTGCGCGGCCGCTTCGCCGCCACCTCGCCGCACGGGCCGTCCGGCTACGGCGACGGGCGCTGCGTGTCGCTGGGGGTGGCGGAGGGCCGCGTTCCTGGGCCGCGCTGGGAGGTGCAGCTGAAAGGCCAGAGCAGGGTGGAAGGAAGAGAGAGCTGGGTGGAGATCACAGGTCATGATGGTCATGTCCAAGTTTTCGGCCAAATACATGGAAAGACAACGACCTATACGTAGCCGTGACTCACGACGTAGCTCATCGCAGAACAACTCCGGTGTTTGTCAGGCTTTCTTGGTCAAGGATCGGCCAGGTGCGGTCGAAAGCAGGCTGCACAAGAGGACACACTCGTGGTCTGTTGCTTTGGTCGGTCAGAAGCCTTGCGCAACACGTTTGTTGTTTGGCTTGATTCACGTGGCTTGTTGTCATGTGAACTGTCCCGAAAAGGGCTAGTCACTAGTCTTCTGATTGTCATGAGTCCACTTCACTTCCGGGATTTCGTCCTCATGCCACATGAGTTGCCTGCCTCAAGCGCTGGTGAGTGTCGCACAGGAACGCTGGCCCGAACGGAAGAACGAACCGAACTCGGTCACACCAGGTGAGTGCGAACAGGTCGTGAACATCGCAGTGAGTGAAAACATCGCGAAGAGCTCTTTTCAGAGCCCACTGTGAGCCCACCCGACGGGCTCCTTCTGGCCACCCCCTCCGTTTTCGAAGATGGGACAGGGGTGGGGATGCCTAGCGGACGAGCCAGATGAGCCCAGCGGACGATGCCCCCCAGGCTCTGGTCGCACGCCCTTCTCACGGAACCTGGATGGGCGTGCGGTGCTGCGCAGCTGCATCCGGGAGTTCCTGGCCAGCGAGGCCATGCATGGACTGCGCGTGGCGACCTCGCGTGCCTTTGCGAGGAGTGAGAGTGAGCTGAATGGGTGGAAGATGAAGCACAAGAAATGGTTTAGAGGATGATGGTTTGACTGGTTTGTGCCTGACCTGAGGCCACTAAGGCTACAGGCTGCTGAAGGATTGCGGTGAGACTGTTGGTTCAATGAGTTCAGCATATCATCCGAATCAACCATTAAATCATTAATTGTGTATCACTGTGTATCGCATGCGATCGATCTTCAATGAACTCGAAAGAACATTGCACATACCCCTGTAGGCTTCCACTCAGAATGTACGACTGGACCCTCCTGGCACCTACATAACAGTGTCTCCAATCACCTTCTCAGGGGTATGTATCGCTAGGGTACTCCTGACCGGTCATGGTTTTCTCTCAGGTGCCTTGGCAGTGGTCGCCTCCAATAGCCTCCGCGTGGTACGCCCCTGGTACGCAGCCCCGGCGCAATCCGCGCCCGCCAGCGCGCCCTGCGAACGGCGGCCGCCGCGGATGGAAGTGGAGGAGCCGGCGGCTGTTTGCTGCCGGTGTGCCCCTGGGACAGGGGAATTGTGCTGTTCGAGGAGGAAAGATAAGAGAACAAAAGCCGTGAATTAATTACCCTTTTCTTTGGGGTGTTCCTTGAGT